ATCAGAAAAGCATTTCAGTACTTTGATTGATCTTAGTGGTAATTTAGAACCAAATTTAGTTTTAGATTGTTATAAAGAAGATCAAAATAAAAGATTTTTAAATGTTTGTAGATTTGATTTTTCAAATAAAGAACATCCATTGACAATATATAATGAAATAGATTTAATTGGTAATTTAAATGGTTATGAAGTTGAAGAAATTAAATTTCTACCTAACCTTACAGATGGTTTATTGTATAATATTTATGTTCTTTATTCTAATAAAAATGGTTTAAATAGTATATTAAGAGAGTATAAGAATATGAAACAAATTTCAAGAGATGATTTAAATTATCTTGATAACATTCAAGCAGATAAATTAAATTTAAACAGTAACATTAATATTAAAAAAATAAGTGATGATATTACGTTGAATGGTAAATTTAATAAGCTTTATGTATCTAATCTTACTTCAGAGTTTCAGGGTGGAGATGTTTTCTTTTTATGGAATTCATATGATGGAAAAGAAGTAAAATTGATTTTAAAAAGGAAAATATCAAATTCTTTTAATTTAGAAGATGTTAATCTTAATCAAGGCCACTTTAAAAATTTTCTTAATTTTATTAACAGTGATAATAAGATTATAAAGGAAATAGCAGTTGGTGAATTTGTTCCTGGTGAAAACAGACAGATTATTGTTAACTATGTTGATAATATTCTTGATCTAAAAAAAGTAGTTATATTTGAAACCGGTAAAAGTACTCTTTATAATAGAAATAACATTTCAGTTATTTATAAAGATAGTGGCAATAGTCAGAATTATGCTTTAATTCCTGGTGCTTCAACTATCGTTGGTATTAAAGAAGGTTCTAAAGTGAAGTATATGTCTTTAACTCAATATGAAAGTAACACGCGTAACAACTTCTATCCAATTGCTTCTTATTATGGGGTTGGTTCAACTAATTCTTTTCTCTATTTTATTCTATTTAAATATAATAAAAGTTTTAAAATTGTTGACATCCCCGTATTTCCCTCTACAGAATTGGTTATTGTATTTAAACCAGAAAGGGAAAAGTATGTATTCGAAATTTATTTCGAATCTCCTTACTTATTTCATGTTTGTTTTGTTGTTTGTGTGATTGCTGTCTTTTTTATGATTGTTTTAGCAATTTTAATGTATTATGAGAATAAAAAGAAAGAAATTGAAAACCCTAACACTAGATTAAGAAGGTTAATTAGAATGATTTAGAAAATAAACTATTTTACTTGAATAATATTTTGTTACTTAGAAATTTTTATTTAAAAAAGTTTGTTTGTTAAATTATACAAATACTTTTTAATTTAAATTAAAAAATTTTAATGCATTAATAATCAATAATTTGACTCTTTTAAAAATATTCTTTAAGAAAGATTTGAATATTAAAAATTACAAGAAGTAAAAGGTTGCGCTTTATAATAAGTTTTTGTAAGTAAAAGTATTTAAAATTTTTATTTAAGTGAAATAAATAAGGTTTGATTTCTTCCTAGATAAAACCTCATTAATTCCATTGATAAAATCACCTTGAGAAATTATAGTCTTTTTCAAACGTACAGCTGACATACCTGCTTCAGTACAAACTGCTTTACATTGTGCTCCATTAAATCCTTCTGTAGATTTTGCCAAGTCATCAAAATTAACTGCATCATCAACTGCCATCTTTCTAGCATGTATTTGCATAATTCTTTTACGACCTTCATGATTTGGTAGAGGAAATTCTATTTTACGATCTAAACGTCCTGATCTCAATAAAGCTGGGTCCAGTATATCTA